GAGAATGCAGGATGCACAGCACAGACCAGGTTAGGAAGTTTTCAGGCTGTGCACATTTTTGAGGATGAAGTCATTATCTTGCGTATTAGTTTGCTTTACAGTAAACACCAATGATTAAGCATTTCAGAATTTTCTGTGTCTTTTCTCAGAAGCCAGATCCTATTCAGTCTCAGGGTTAATTACTGATAAGTAAGCTCACAGAAAGAAAATTGATGCTGCAGAGCTACAAGTGGGAGTAAATTTTCAGGACTAGTTTTGCTGCAGCAGATTCCTACCAGTGGGCTCTAGCAGCAGTAACACATCTGTAGGTCACAGTGCCAAGTCGGGTCCCAGACATGGTCCTCATTGGCCTGCTGATGGGCCTGAGGAGGAGCTGGTGTTCTCTGGATGCACTCAACACCACGGCCCTCGGACGCACTGGGACAAGGTCATGCACAGAACAAGGGGTGAGTGCAGCACCAGGAATCACCTTAAACCCTGCAGCAGAGGTGCATACAAGTAGGGAAAGGCATTATGACACTCAGGCCACCCCAGGCTGGTGGTGAGACCCTCTCTGCCATTTCCTGGGTCACTGAGCAGGTTCTCTGTTGTTCAGATGGCTTCCATGTTCAACAGCTTCTGGCCCTGGTGTAGAATGGATTGATTGATACATGGAGACAAGGGGTGATGGATGGATGGGTGGGTGGATAGATGGATGGATGGATGGATGGACAGATGGATGGACGGACAATTGGGTGAGTGGATAGATGGATGGGTGAGCAGTTGGATGGGTGGGTGGATGGATATATGGACAGGTGGAGGGATAGATGAACAGGTGAGTGGATAGATGGATGGACAGATAGATAGACAGATGGACGGGTGGGTGGATGAATGGATAGATGGATGGGTGGTTGGACAAATGTATGGACAGGCAGATGGATGGCTGGGTGGGTGGACAGATGTATGGGCAGATGGATGGTTGGATGGGTGGGTGGATGGATGGATGGATGGATGGATGGATGGATGGATGGATGATATAGTCTAAAGGTAAGAGTTACCTGAGCGCCTCTGCAATGCTTTCACAAGATCAGCACATAGTAAGTGCTCAATAAATGTTTGCTGTGTTTTCAGCTTGAAACATAATGACCATGCTTTAAATTTTGTGTAAGAAGAGTGTCATGCAAACCCACTGCTGCCTAATAATTAACCCTTGCACTTCTGCATAGTTATTCAAACACTCATGTGCTCTGTCATGGAGTGCAGTCCTTTTGCCATGGCCTTCCTCCTTTTCAGCATTAATATCTGACTCACACATCTCATCTCTCCCCCTGCTGACCTCTCCCTTCATGGAATTAGAGAGGGACCGGTGCTCCCCATTTCTCTCTGCATTTTTCTCCAGATGTGCGGGCTGTAGCACTTCGTTCTCTCTTCTTCGTGCTTCTGGTTGCCGTACTCAGCCGTGCATTTGCCTGGCACTTAGCAAGCACTGACTGTGTGATGGGGATGAATGAGCAGCTTCGGGAGGCCGCGAACACTTGCTGTCTCGGCTCGTGCTGTGGCGGAGAGCATGACCACCCCTGAGAACACACCCCACAGCTTCGGGCCTAGGCGTGGCATCTGTGCTAAAGTCATTATATAAAATGGCAAAATAGTTGCATGGAACCTATTATATAGTCCAGGACCCTTTAAATCATCTCTAATGCACTTATAATACCAAGTACCACGTAAATGCTGTGTAAACAGTTTATACTTTGTGAGCATACAACAGTTTAAAATATTTCTGCTCTGCAGCTGGTGGAATCTGCTAATGCAGAACCTGCAGACACAGAGGGATGATTATATATTTAAATCAATACATGTTTAAAACATTTCTATGTCCCTCCCCTCCCTCAGAGCTTTTGCCTTCAAGCCATTAAGTAGGGCTGGGCATAGCAACACACGGTTGTAATCCCAGCACTCAGGAGGCTGAGACAGGAGGATCTCTAGGAGCTCAAGGGCAGCTTGGGCTACATAGTGAAACTCCATCTAAAAAATAAAGCCATTAGGTAGAGCAGTGCAGGGTGGGCATCCATAGCAGATGGGGGAAGGAGAAACATATAGGACCAAAGTTAGGTGACAGCCTAAACGGAGTGAAAAGATGGCAGAGACTGGAGATGGCTTATATCCAGGGAGACTGATCCGATAAGCGAAAAAGTGATGGTTAATAAAAATGAAGTTTTTTGCTGTTGGAGAAGAAAGTCGTAAGTAGAATGAACTTTGCACATTTAGACCGGAATGAGAGGGATTGGTGCTCTCGGGGTTTCGTGCGGATTCTGAGAGGGATTAGGATTGGTGCTAGAGGGAGAGACAAAGACAGAGCGAGAAATGTGTGTGTGCCTGTGTGAATATGAACGTGGGCCTTTTCCTGCCCGGAAGCAAAAAAGTGCTCTACGAAATGAAAGGAGGAAATCACGAGGACGCAGTCCTAGCTGAAATAAGCCACTCTGACCAAATTAAAGAGTATTTGAACATCAGAAGGTCACAAGCTGACTGCAGTCCACGGAATAAAGTAAAAAACAAATTCACAGTGATGCCAGGAAATGCTTAGAGATCGGGGGAGGATGGAGCACGGAATCTGCATGTGTTTGGGCTCCTCCCCACAAAATGCTTGTTAACTGCAGAGGGGAAATGAGCACTTTGCAGGGGTGAGGCCTGGCACGTGACCCTAAAGCATAACCAAGCACCGTGATCTGTGATGGAACAGCATGCAGTCCAACACAGGATAGCCAAGCTGGTGGACGGCTCGAGCAGGACTCGGCAGAACCCAGTCCGATCTAATCACAAGGAGATAGAAAAGCCCAGATAAAGGACATCCTATAAAAGGCCTGGGATATAACCTTCAAGGTCTTGAAAGTCTGATCATGAGACATATTTCAGGCTGAAGGAGACTAAAGAGATACCTCAGCTAAGACGATTTTGTCATCCTGAGCTGAAACCGTCATTCTAAAAGGCACACCACAGTGTGTGGGTCTGTGATCAGACGTACCATAGTAACTCCTGATGTTGATGACTGTATGTTCTGGTGGGTAGAAGAATGTCCTGTTCACAGGTAATAGCCTAAACCCTCCTAAACTATCTGTGCAAATCTTCGGTGAGTTTTTCTGTGCTACAAAATTCTTTGAACTATTAAAGTAATTTGAATAACAAACAGTCAGACTAGGCAAGAAAAATATAACTGTAAGGAACAGCGTGAGGCCAAGACCACCAGGCTTGTGTAAAGGCAACATGGTGTGGAATTTGTTGTGCCTGGATGCTGGCAGACAGACAGCAAAAAGGCCGTCTGTGTGGAAGAAAGAGAAGCCGGCCTTTTTATAGGGATTGAAAGACAACTGGGGACATTAGACAGGAAAATGTTAATAAATGTCAGTGATCTAAGTCCTCTGGCAGTCTTGCACCTCACTGGGCAAAGTCCTTGAGGGTCCAGTGTAAATTATCAGGTTTCTGCAGATGTCCAGGGACCTGCAAGACTCCGTGTCCTGTCTCTTACAACATCCTGTGTTTACCAAGGACGGCCTCAGTGCTGAGCTGGGTCCCTGCTGAGAATAGCGCCTCTGCTGGCAAGCAGGTTGGGGGCTGGGGGAGTCAGTCTGATTCGAGCCTTACAGTAACACCCAAGCTCCCCAGGTGATCGTGATGTATTTCCTAGGATTTATAGCCTTTGTTCTCTCAGAAACCGAGCAACCAGCTGGCTGAGAGCACTGCACCTGGTGCTGTCTCCCCCAGGCCACACCAGGTACTGCAGCCACCCCAAGGAATCTGCAGGACTGGTTCTGGGGCCCTCGTGGATATCAAAATCCAAGGATCTTCATGTGCTTGCTATAAAATGATGTATATCTCCTCCCATTCACTTTAAGTCATCTCTAAAATACTTGCAATGCCTAAACCTACTTACATCTGCACATCACGTCATTCACACGACTCAGGCTAGTGCTTGGAACACAGCAAAATCAAGCTTCCCTTTCTTGGAATTTACTAGAATTTCTTTTAAAAATGTTTTCAACCCTTCGATGAAGAACCTGTGGACGCCGAGGGCTGACAGTCTTCTTAAAGAAGTCTGCATTTGCAGACTCAGGCCCCACCCGCTGCAGCCCCCAAGGACCTTCCCCAGTTAACTCTGGGCATTCCCAGGAGTGCTGAGGAACAAACCCCAGAGCCGCCTGGGGTCTAGGCTGGCACTGCCACCCCAGCTGGCCCCGTGGGTGGAGCTGAGGCCCACCACAGAGTGAGCTGTGTTGTGCCCTCCTGATGCTCTTCTTTTTGGGGGTGGTCCTGTTGTTGAGTCACATCCAGGTCACAGTCTCATGCCCAGATGTCCTAGAGTTTGAGGGACAGCAGTTCTTGGAGCCTGCTTTTCCGTGAGCATCAGACAGGTGCCGGGGCCTGGGTCAGGAGGAACCTGAGAAGCCGCTTCCTCCGTCACTCTCAGGAAGGTAGTCCAGGCCACCTACCGACTGACCTCTCCCACCCGGTATTTCCTGGAAGGCTTCTCAGCTCTTAGTAGTAATGGAGCCCACCTGCTGGGGTTCGGATTGCCCAGGCACCCACGAGGCCCTGGGGTGCAAGGCTTCAGCCTAAGCTGCGTGTACGGAAACGAACAGAAGAGGAGGCACCAGCCCCCCGCTGCATCTTGTTAAAAGTCCCGGAGAGCCGTTCCCTCACGGCCGCCTCAGGCTCTGGTGAGATAGCTCTGTCTGCAGCGCTGCCCTGGCTCCCTCTGACCAGCGGGCAGCAGCCCTCACGGAAGGGCTTTCTCTGGCTCCGCTCCTAAGGCGGCCTAACCCGGGCTGCCCGTGTAGAGGGGGGCACAGCATTTGCTATCGGCGGAGGGTGCAGGAGGTGACCTCGGTGGCCTGGCTGCCAGGACCGTGGAGACGGGCTCCAGCGCAGGAGGCGCTCGGTCCCTGCACGGAGCCGTCCTCGCCCTCCCCGCTTCTCCCACCGCAGTCTCGCCCAGTGACCGCTGACTCTCTTCCGTTCCCTAGCGTAGACAACTCCGAGGACCCTGTGTACGAGAGCCTGGAAGAGTTCCACGTTTTCGTCTTGGCCCATATCCTACGCAGACCGATCGTCGTGGTGGCAGACACGATGCTGAGGGACTCGGGAGGAGAAGGTGAGAGACCAGGGGCACATTTAATCCGGGCCCGGGAGCTGTGACTTCCATGTAGAGGACAGACAGCATCGCGTGGAGGCTGAGCTGATTCTTAGAAGGGTCACTTGTAGCCCTCTGCGCAGACAGAGCTCACGTTATTCCGAGTGTCTTCTGTCCTCCCCAGTGGTGGCAGGGGTTGCTCTTGGCCCTCCTTCCTCCACGCCATAGCAGCCAGCCATGAAAAATCTGGCCAGAGAGGCTCTCAGCCCCCAAAGAGTCTCCAGACTACAGAGACAGCAGCAGCTGTCCCAGAGCCTCACAGCCCTCCAGTCCCCTGCTGCCCCTCTGCAGGCTGCGTGGGTATTAAAAAAAGAAAGGCAGACAAAGCCTGAGGTCCCTTGGCTGGGTAGTGGTGGAATGAGGACTCTCGGAGAAAGAGGTGAGGCCAGGAACGGGCTACTTATCCCAGCCCACGGAGAGCCGGGCGCTGTGCAAGCCCCCTTCCCTTGCCGCATCTCCCGAGGTAGACGCTGCCTCCTCACGTTGTGGATGAGGAAACCGAGCCTGGAGAGCCTCATGTCCCTACCAAGCACAGCCCCGGAGGGCAGTGACCCACCACGTGTCCTCTCTCCAGCCTGCGGCTTCCAGGGGCCCAGGAGCAGTAGTGAGGGCGTCCTGGGGACCCCACAGGGCTGACCACCCCCTCTGATGAGGCAGAGAGAGGAAGAGCTGGGGGCGGTGGTCCAGGAAAACGATGGGTACCATTCCAGCGCCCGTGCACCTGCCCCCCTCAGCTGTCCAGCCCTCAGCCTGTGCCCCTGCTGCTGCCACCATCAGGAGTCCGCCCCCTCTCACAGCCATGTTTCCTGCTCTGTCACTTCTGAAGATGACATCATCCGCAGGAAGGCCAGACACACATTCCCAGGGACATGTCCCTACAGCCCTGCTTGATTTAGACCTGCACCCTAATGAAAGTCGCAGCTTTCCACAGAGTCCCACAAGTTAGGCTGTGCTCTGCGTGCTGGGTTGCACCTGCCAGAGAACGTCCAGCACGGCCATGATGGTTAGGTAGGGCACTTGTCCAGCCTGGCACCCCCTGCTTCCCTTGGGACTTGGGACTTGGGCCTGCTGAGGGCTGCCGCTCTGAGGGTAGCACCAGGATGCTCACAGGGCCACTGTGCAAGCCAGGAGCCCTCTCCCAGGACAGCACTGGACTGCAGGGCGGGCCACACTTCCCCCACTCCACCCGCACCTGGCTTGCAGATGGGCCCTCGCTCTCAACAGGAGTCCTCTGTGGGAAGAAGTGCACTGACCAGACAAAGTCAGGGCAGAAAAGGGGCTAGGCGGTCATCAGAGTTGTTGCTGAAGGTGACTGTCGCTGCCTTCTGCTCAGAGGAGCGCGGCAGTTCCCTGGCACGGGGGCCAGAGGCAGCATTCTTCATGATCAAAACGCAGATGCTGCTGCAGACGCTGGCAGATATCTGCAGAGGTGATTTGCTTTCAGCAGCTGTTCTGGACTTCTCCCCGCTCCTTAACCTGAGCTAGGAAACAAGACTATGTCTCAGCACGGAAGCCCGATGTCCCCATTTCTCATTTCCCGCCTGACTTCGAGCCAGTCCTGGAGCTAGCTGGTTGGTTCCTCCCCGTCCCGTAGGAGGCATTCTCAAAGTACAGAACAAATGCCCCCTGGAGAAGTGCAGAGGTTGTGCTGCGCGCTAACGTTTTACACCTAAGGGAGGAAATCGCACACCCAGAAACACAGGGGCTCCAGGCCAGCGGTCAGAGTGTGTGACTGCTGACCGTCTGGGTGACTGTGTCATCCTAACCATGCGGCTCTTGACCACCTGGGCAAGTCGCAGGATCTCAGGGTAGATCACCATGGAAACCTGGCCCTGGTCCTCAGCAATGCCGCCCCCCTCCCCCTTCATCCCATCTGTGTCCGCAGCATTCGCACCCATCCCCTTCGGAGGCATTTACCTCCCGTTGGAAGTCCCTCCCAACAGATGCCACTGCTCGCCTCTGGTCCTCGCCTACGATCAAGCGCATTTTTCGGCCCTTGTGAGCATGGAGCAGAGAGACCAGCAGAGAGAACAAGGTAGGCGGCCCCCGGCAGACGGGCCCGGGCACTGGGTGGGCGGAGGAGGCACGGGGTGAGCTGAGGGCAGCTCCCTTCTGCAGCACAGCTGTGCACCCGCACAGCGGTGTGTTCGCACAGCTATGCCTGCGCACGTCTTCACTAAAAATACCCTTGTTAAAATCAATGTCTCACTTAAAGTGCTGGCGTGAATAATTCTGCCACTCTTAAAGGGCCTTTACTGTTTGTTCTTCCTTACATGTATGTGCACATTTTTTATTTAAACTTACTTTTAACTGATGCATAAAAACATGAGAATGGTACATATTTATGGGGTACCATATGATGTTTTGACACATGCATACGTTGTGTAATGTTCAAATCAGGGTAAACATACCTATCTCCTCAAATATTTATAATTTTATGGTGAAAATATTGAAAATTTTTTCTTCTAGCTTTTTGCAGTACACACTTGCCCCTCTACAGAGTTTTTTAAATCATATATAAGTAATTATTGTTAATGTACTATATATGTATTTCATACAGATAGACTTAGATATAATTTTAAAAGAAAACCGCTCTAGAGCAGGAATTGACAAACTATGGCCCACTACCTATTTTTGTCAATAAAGTTTTATTCAAACGCTGCCACAGTCATTCATGCATGTTTTGCCTATAGCTGCTTTTATAATAGCAGCAGAGCTGCAGAGCAGCCACAGAGGCTGTGTGGCCTACGGAACCTAAAGTATTCACTCACTACTAATGTACAGGCAAAGTCTGCTGCTCCTGCTCTAGAGTGAGCTTTGCAGTCAGTAGGTCATTGTTTCCTTTCAGACCATTAAAGCGGAGTTTCCCACAAGTAGCCCTTTCAGTGCTGCTGCTGTCCTCGCTGGGCCAGCCCCACAGGCTGTGCACTGCGCAGTTCCTGCCACCAGACTGAGAGATCCACCCAGGGCTTGTCTCAGTCCGTGCAGTGCCTTTGCTGTAAAAGTTGAGTGGTTGCTATTGGCTCTTGTTATGACCATGCATGACTGACTCCCTTCTTATCGTCACTCTTACTTGTGGAGTAGGCAGAGAATCATTCCCCTAGAAGGCTGAAGGACAGGCAGGTCGGATTAGTTTAAGGACCTCCTCCACTGGGTGTGGTCCCAGGAAACTCCAAGTGACTCTCCAGGCTGCCGCAGGGCAGGAAGCTCAAGGTGTGTGGTTCTGACCTTCACTCTGAGCACAGGAAGTGAACACGATGACAGATTGCCCCGTGGGGCTTCCAGATGCTACCCATTCCTGCAGATGGCGGGTGTGGAAGGGACACAGACAGATGAACAAAACCAGCCTCAGGCCAAGTCCTGGCCTCACAGCTAGAGTCAGGGAGTGAGTATTGGGCCTTCAGGGTTGAATCTGCAACAGAGAAGCAGGGGCATCCCGACCCCCTCCCAGCAGCTGATAGAGATCCTTGAGCGCACGCCTGGGTGCAGAGGGGGATGTGGGTCTCAGAAAGGCAGAAGAAAAGCACTGTGACCAGGGTACCAGGAACATCATGTTATCAGCAGACCTCTCCCTCTGGCACAGGAAGAAGTGTCCATCGCTGTAGCCTGGCGGACATCTGTGCTTTCTGTTGTCTCTCCACTTTCTGCCCCCCAGCGCCTGCATCTCCCTCTTGGTTTTTAGCTCTTCTTGGGGCTTCCTGTGGCTTTCACAAGATGACAGAGCCTTCTTAGGACCTGGGGCCCAGGTCAAGGGCTGCGTGTCCCTGTCAGTGGAGGCATTGCTGAATGAGAGCAGAGGAGGGTGTTTAGGACAGAGGGAGCCTGAGAGTCCACTCAGAAGGCAGGACTTTCGGTCAACATGTCTGATTTCATCATGAAACTTTCTTGACCAACCAAGGCTGCACTCAAATCCATTAGTAGCTTACCCAGTACTTGTGCTTCCTGGCCCTGCAACTCCCAAATGCTGACCCCTAGGCCCACACCTGGTGGTGAGTCGTTTTAAAAAAAATATTCTGTGGGTTGTTGGAGGTCGAAGCCCCCAGCAGAGCTTGGAATGTGGCTGCTCCTGACAGCTGTCCCCCTGGGAAAAGAGGTGTCCATCTGGGTGGCCCGGCGGAGCAGAGGCAGAGCCTCAGGGCATGTGGACAGGGCATTCATATAGTGTGCCCTTATCCTGAAAGGAAATCAGTGGGTAATACTTCTGTCTTGCAATAAAGTCAGCTTAGCTCCCTAACATTAGGGGAAATGAAAGGAAGCTCACTGTGTTAGCTTTTCGTCATGTAATGAAATCCTTGAGATAATGAACTTATAAAGAGAAAGTGTTTAGGGCCCACAGTTTAGAGGTTCCAGGTCTGACTTATTGGCCCTGTTGATTTGGGCCTGTGGTGAGGCTGTCACTCTGGTGAGAGTGTGTGCTGAGCAAACCTAGCCACCTCAGGGGTCAGGGAGCAGAAAGCGGGAAGGGGTCAGGGTCCCACTCCTTCTGGAGGGAGCACCGCTGACTTCTCAGCAGGCTCCACCTCCCCCAGGCTTCACCACCTCCCAGGAGCACCACTCTAAGACCCAGCCTTTATTGGGGCCAGTCATCCAAACACAGTGACACAGGGACATGTTTGCATGTGCTTTTGTGCACCCGTGCAGTTCTGGGACTGAAGTGTCATGAAACTGTTTGCATTTCACACTGTCAGTACAGCCACATCAAAAACCTCAGTGAAGCAGCCAGAGCCTGGCCCTATGTGTGGCATCCCAGCACATGAGTGCTGTATGCACAGTCTGAGGGACACGGGTGTGCTCAGCTACAGCCCCGCCACCTCAGGAGAATTAATAGTTGGTGATGGGATTTTCCAAAATGCCAAAAAATTCTTGGTAAAGTTCCTGATGAGCCGAACAGAGCCCTGCCTTGTCTTGAGATCTCCAGTAATACGCTCAGTGTGCGTGGGCTGACACCACGCAGATAGTGTGCTGCACCAGGCAGGTAGGGGTCCCCGGGGGTGACAGACACCTAGGATCCCAAAAATGGTGCCACCCAGGACACACTTCTTGGTTCTTCTCCAGACCCCAAAATAAACTTCCTGCTCCCTTTATGCACGCACACCAACAGCCTCCAATCCTCTCCTGATAGGACACATCGATACACCACCTGCCCATACTAACTCCACCCCTAGTCTAACCTAATAAAAACCCCTCCCTCCTCTGAGGATCCTTGCAATCTCCCGCAGCCCTCCCATACCTGCAATAAAGGCTTGTTTTTATCTACCTCTGTCTCATGCTCCACCTGGTGCCCAACCTAACAGGGAACCTCCGGGTGGTCTGTCCCCCACCCCATGTCCTCAGTAATATATTTGCATGTGGTTTTTGTGCACCCATGCAGTTCTAGGTTAACCCTCCACACTTTCTGTCCCCCAGCCAACAGTTCCATGGGATGGTCTGCAGGGCTCCGAAAAAGACCTGGCCAGCATGTGTAGTGGTGGGGAACAGGCAGGTATGAGAAAGGAGGTCCCTGAGGTGGGACCCCGAGTCAGAGCCTGCTTGGAATAAAATAGCATCTCCCACCTGCTGACCTGGGAACCTCCAGGACTGGAGAAGGTGGGCCCAGGATACTTTGCTTCATGAAAGACAGCAATACCATCTGTGTCTGTTCCTCTTCAAAAATTCAGTAAAGTAATTATTAAAGTAGATTTTTCCCTCCTAAAGGCAAACAGCTTGTGAGCCTCAGGGACATACCCAGAGCCACACAGAGGTCAGGAAGCCCCACACTTGTCCCTGATGCCTCTCCCAGGGGCCCTGTTCATTGAGCCCAGGGTGGTGGGCTGGTAGGCCTTAAAGAGTGCACTGGTGAGAAACGGGGGGCAGAGGCTGAGATGACACGGGGGATGGGCCAGCTCCACACCGGCTAGGACAGAGGCTTGCAGCAGGTGACTCCAAGGTCTGCTGTTCACTCATGCGTTGGATCAGAGTCCCAACACACCCAAAATGTGACGCTTGCAGAAGAAAGAAAGAAATCTTTCTGTGCACAGAACAGCCTGCAACCTCGTCTCTTGACACTTAGAAATAACACACCAAGTTTATAAAAATGAGGCAGTTTACGAAGATGATCCTGAAGGAAGAAGGGGCATAGACTAATTCTACCCAGCAGGCTATGAAAGCAGTTTTTCATCTGTATCTGATGCATAGCTCATAGTTAAATCAAACACTACCTGTCAAGTAGATTGTAAGATCTTGGTAATACCTTCTATTCTGATCGTGCTGGTGATCGAACCCAGGGCCTCACATGTGCTACCACTGATCTGCATCCCAGCCCAGGATTCTAACATATATATTCCAGATTATAACATAGTGACAAAACATGCTTATCCTACAAGAGTAATTTATAACAAGCAGAATTTTCTAAGTAGACATTTTTAACATGTTATATTATTAAGTATTCCACTTAAATAAATGTTGTGATATGATTTCATCAGTGTAGATCTAAACATCATTATTACCTCAGAATCACTTCGTTATCCAACAGCAAGCAAACTGGCCCAACTGTGTGTCCCTGCCTGGATATAGAAATGAAGGAAATATATGGCAGCGCCTATTATGGGACATCACTGATGAGTTTGTGGTGGTGAAAAGATTATAGAAACCACAAGGTACCTTAAAAATAGGAACTGCCTTCCTTGTCTCTGTGCTGGCCTCCCTTCTCTTCAGCTACTTTCAAAGTCCGCCAGCTGTCCGGAAAGGTGGGGCCAGGGTGGAGAAGACGGTGCAGCTCAGCCAGCCCTGGTGAGCTGTGAGAGCCTTGTCAGGCCTCTTCCTCTATTGCTCCTCTCGGGAGCTCCAGAGCACAGGAGGCCCCTTGCTGTGGGATGAGCCCGTAGCTCACTAAGGCCCCTTGCTGTGGGATGAGGAAGAGGATCTGGGGTGGGAACATCCAGACTTTTAGCTCAGACGTCGGCTGCCCAGGGCTGGCGTCTTTGACGTGGTTGCTCTAACTTCAAAAATGGCTGGGAAATGCCAAGAGCTATGAGCCGGAGTGAATGGCTTCCGAGC